ATGAAGTGTTAAACCATTGGAGTGGGGGTACTCACCCAGTAGCTCACAGTACGACAGCCTTGGCATGGAATCCTCACTCAGTCTGCTCTTGCATCCCCCTGTCTATCATACAGTTAACATGCTTTCTCACGGGAGTAAATGAGTCCTCATAGAAATCAATCAAACTTAGACACAGATCATGACATTTCCTTCCCCCATATAGCTTGCTTGCTCTCATACAATTTGCATCCTACTAAATTGTAATCATTTATGCACTGCAATATAACAGTGGAGTGTAAAAGGAATATATTAGCTCTTAATTCATTAAATGATTTTGAATACAAAGTGCTTGCCAAGGGAAGTAACTCAAGGGAGGTAACTCAACTGTGTGCAGGTGGTGGCAGGTTGCTTTATATTGATGTGTTGTTGATTAAAGGAGACGAAATCGGATCGTCCTCTCAGGCCGTCAATTGTCGTTGAAAGAGGCCACCAACCGAAAAGACGCCCAAAAAACTCTCCGGCTCCTCTCGCAAAGCAAGAGTCGTTTTCTGATCTGGTAAGGCATGTTGACAGGCAAACAAGACCGGTTCTGTAGTATAGATTGAATTTTTTTAAAGTTTTGTTTTGTACGCAATATAGTTTTAACAGTTGACCGTTACTTAGCTTACGTTGTGTTACAGCAGCTTTGTACACCTAGATGCTCAACAGTTGCCTAAGTTAGATGTTGTTGCAGCTTAGCCATTCTTATTTTTGAGTTCGTCGCTGTATTAAAGCAAAATATTAACTTTTTTCTTGCCTTTAGACAAAGCTATGCTTATTGTTCAGCTTTGTTAATTTCTTTGGGAAAATTATTTATGTTTTCAAAACTAATATTTTCATTATCATTCATCATTCAAATCATGAGTTAATCAAATTATTTGATGATAAAATCATAAACCATTTAAAATATTTAATCTGTCGAATCATCCATCAAATCATTAATACATCGAATTGTTCATACATCAAATCATTGATACATTAAATCACTATTCTGAATCAAATTAAAAATCTTTTATTTGTCAAATCATCCATTAAATCTTTGATGCATCAAATCGTTAATGCATCAATTTTTTGCTGAATTAAATCATTAATCCTTCGAATCATCCATATAGGGATCAAATCATCAAGTCAATGCAATATAGGTAAACCTTCAAATTATTAATCGATCAAATTAATAATCAATCAATATTTTGATTAATTAATAAACGATCACGAGACATTACACTGACTAAGCTTGACCTCTTTTGGGGAAATGTCATCAAGTTATCTTTCTTATTTAAAAACAATTGTCTGAAACACATACTGTAAGAGATCACTTCAAAGTATTGTCAACAAGATCAAGTAGGTGACATTAAACATGCTCAATCCTTTACCATCTTGAGATGTGTATATACTTGTGTGTTATAGCCGGTTTAGTGTTTCCAGTTTATATTTAGTTTGCTTTCTTGTTCCTATTTACTGGCAGAAGTGTTGTAACTTTCCCAAGTTGTAAAGTGACATCCATTAAGAATTTAGAAGTTTTGATATAACTCCAGTTAACATTTGCTGTTTATCAAAGTCAAAGAATTCCTTATTTTTTTCAATGGCACAGTTGTTATGGTGATCAGGTTGCTTTTCTTTGAAATTAAGATATCTGATTATAAACTAAAAGATCTTTTTTTTTTCTAAAAGTACCTATGCATGATGAGTGGCTTTGTGCATGATGTCTAACATTTAACTCCTTCCCAGCATGACGTTGAATGCTGCCTGAAATAAGCATGCTTTGAAGACAAAAACATTTCGGTGTTGTTATATTTTAAATACTATGTATTTCCATATATATCATAGTATTGTATTTTCGCAGATACTAAGGCAAAATACTTGCAAGGGTTGAAAACATAGTACACGATCCCAAGGGGGTTCGATATCCTTTCAACCCTGGCTTTTATTTTGCCACGGTAACTGCAATATACAACACTTTTCCATTGATTAGTATCCTGATTGTTCTTTAATAATTCATTAATCAACTTCAATTCAAATTTAAGAGGTTGCTCATGTGAGAAGGTATGTCAGATATCTCTGTCTTCTGTAGCCTCAGTAGATATGATCGTACCCATGTTGTAATAAGAAGAAGAATTAGATGGCGTTATATTTAGGAAAAGTCAATGTAACAGCCAAAATGCCTGTTACGGCATACTAATATTTTGCTTAATGATCTCGACTACAGACGGCATACTAATATTTTGCTTAATGATCTCGACTACAGACTATGTAAAAATTGCGATAACATTGCTGTTGAAGAATTAAGGGTGTGTGATTTGGAGACCTAGCCCGCAGGTAGATTTTCAAAAACTCTACTAGACCAATCGTACCCATGCACAGATCAATATTTTTGCAAGACATAGGAGTTGAGGGTAACTTCATGCATAAATCACAACTATTTTATATAGCAAGCGTCTAACATATTTTGAGGGTCAAAAGCCGTTTAAGGAGGTCATATACCCCCAGAGGGAAGTAAACTGATACCTTGCCAGATGTGTAATTGTACACCCTTGTACTTACAGGAAGAGTTATAATAACATTTGATTGTAAGGCTGTCACTGACATGATAGGAACATGTGAACGTGGGTACAGTAATATCTGTGCTGAACCATTTCATTAAATGACATCTCTTAACTGATTCACCCCTAAAGACACATTTGAACTGTTCCAATTCAAAGGTTGGAATAATTCATTATGAAATTTCAGGGGTCAATGAGTTATTTAAGATCATTTTGCTCTACAGTGGCTTTGGGTGTTGTTGCTCAGTAACTCTTTAACACAGAAAAAACTTAGGTAGCCAAAGGATAACATATTGAATTTTAATGCACAAATAAATAAAAAATACGTAAATGTGATTGAAATAAAATAATTAACATGATAAGGAGTTGCTACAAGTTTAGTATTGAAATTTTCATGTATAAAAAAATCACGAAGATATCCATATTTGTGATGCTAGTTGGCACTAGGGTGATTACGATTCCTGAATCCTTGTTTATTTGTCGGTCAGTATAAGGCTGCAGTGTGTTAATATTTATACAAGTATTGATGCTGGCGTGTCTGACCCTTGGTTGATGTAGGAGTCGTCCCCCACTAGTCCAGACACCTCTGTGATATCCCGGGAGACACTCCAGGAAATAGACGACTGCCTGAAGAAAAACAAGGACAGACAGGAGACTCCCCAACAGCCACTATCCCCCACCGGCGACTTGTCCAAGAACCGCAGCCCCTTCCGCAGAGCTCGGCGACAGTTCAAGAACATCATGGGAGGTATGCACCAATTCAAATTTCTTGAAAACTCCCGTCTGTCGGAATGTATATGGAAATTCATTTTACTTCAATTGAATTTTCATAGACCTCTACCTTTGAATATTCACCTGAACTTACATAGTCAGTAGATGGGATAGTTTTGTCATTTTCCTGTATGAATATTCATTTACATTATATGTAAATCAATGTTCATCATATCTTTTACTGTCAATACTGTTGAAATGGTTTCTGAAGTAGATTTGTTTTACTTTCATTTTCAGTATATTTTATGTAGATCATGTGTTTGTTTAGTTCTGTGTAAACCAACAACAAATTACATAGTTATATATACATGCTTCAAATCATTCACAGTGAGTTGTAACTATGAATCCCTCTTTTGTTTTAAACTTGTATTAGAGCAAGAGAAAATCTTAAATTATAAGCTGATAATCAGCTATGAAATCATCAAACTGTTTTTGAAATTTTTTCACAAAGATAAAATATAATTCTTTCATAATTATCTGTGAATATTGAAAATAGTCACTCACTGTTAATGTATTTGATGGTATTGCCCTAGCACCTCCTAAACCCTGTATCGTTGTGCCGGAGTGGTCGTAGGGAGCTACAGTTGCAGCTGTTAGATGTATCTGTATGTAGTGTTGTAGTGCCCTTGTCATCTGTTGTTTGTTGTAACTTTGTTGTGTACGGAAGTACAGTGTGTCTGGGATGCCAGCAGGCCTGCAATTCTGTTAAATGTTTCCTCACTAAATTTTTGCCACAGGAGTTTTAAAATGAAATCTGCTCATTGTTGAATCCATCCTCTTTGTGAGAATTTACCATAATGTTAAGTATCCTGAAAATTCAAAGACCCATTTTTCCTCTTTTTTGAACTTTTTACCCTATTCGTGAACATGTATTATCATATCGCAGAATTCTCATTATATTAAGTATGAGTTGGGGAAAAAAATGTTAAAAAATTACTTTCGCAATCAGTGAACATCTGTGAGCCATTCTTCATTATATTGTGTGACTTTCTTTATTGTACACATGTATTTGGCTAGCGACTCGCCAGTGTTTGTGTGTTATCACAGAACAACAAATATTTTCAGCAAATCTTTGTTGTATTTGACAAACTATAGGGTCCAAATTTCATAATGAGGACTGCATTCCATTCCGTCATCAAATACCCAGTGTAATGTTAAAAAAAAAGCCGACAAGTTCCCTTTTCTTCAGCATCAGGGTAGATAACTGTGTTGTTGATAAATCAATCCCATTATGTTCTGTTTCACAAAACTAGATTTGAGGGAGTCCAATAAGAGTTGCAATGCTTATCACCTAATGCGCCATAGACCATCATTGCGATTCCTCCATAGAGAGAAGTGTGAGTAAGACCCAAGTGTTCTGGGCATGAATTATGAAACTGCCTATAATGGTTACTAAGTTACCAGCCACGCTTTAACCAGACTATACCCTGATTAGCTAGAGTTGGCGGATGTTTTCGGAATGAGCTTATGCATCTGTGAAACAATTGCATGGCGTTTTGCAAGGTTGGAATGGAAGAAAATTCAGCCTGTTGGCTCTGTTATTTATTTAGAATTAATACTAGATCATTGTATATTGTACAGTTGTGTTAAATCTGGGCTGTACATGGATGTATATGTACAACACATGACGTCTGTATGTCCGTAGTTCACTTGTATGCCCATACACAAAATACTTTTGGACTAGAATTGTATGATGGTGGTGTATGTGTGTATAGCCTGCAGGTCTAATAGTGGTAGTTTTGTAATATCTTAACACCTTTTTCTGTAGGATTTAAAACGGCACATATATTGTCTCTGATAGGTTTGTATGACTTTCACATATTGCAACCCTCGTTCTTCTGCCCGAGTCATGTCTCTACGATCTACCTGTTTACGCTGTGGAGAGCATGTGCCTTGAGCATGTGCATACAACTGCCTCTGACGGCCCTTCATTATTACAGTATATCAACATTATATCATTTCTCTGTATCACGTAACCACGGATATCAACCACCTTTTATGGCTTATATCATATATATTTACGGATAATGGACGAGATTAATGAAAATCTTACTGAATTTTTCGGGGAGAGCAATATTTAGCTAACACTGTTTCATTATACAGTTGTCTGATGATCCTCTGTATTGTAAGTGTGACAATGTTATAGACATGTATCTTACTTACCCATATCGTTATGTCATTCTTCACTGCTTCGTTTTTGCCCGATACTGCCATTTGATAGCCATACTTTAGTGAAATAAAAAGTTTAAGCTTTTAGAGAGTGATGAAAGTGAAGAAGGGATTTCAGAGAGAGATCATTACAAATGGGTTCCAAAATGAACTTAACAAAAATGTGGGATTTTAATGTAAGGGATTTCACACCTGAAATATGAAATAATCATTTTCAGTGTAGAAACATATGAAGAAATAAGGTTTTTAAGAGCAGAAGACATGACTTACTTGAAACAGCTAGATTTTGGAGTAGAAAACACGACAGAATTAGAAATAAGAGCAGAAGCCATGAGGAAATCATAAGGGAATGCCGAGTAGAAATCTTAATACAACAGGGTGGCTTCCAGCATAGAAAATCAGAAATGAGTGTTTCAGGCACGATTTCAGTTTTAGCTCACCAGGTCCTAAGGACCAAGGTGAGCTTATGCCATACCGTGGCGTC